TACGGGCACAGTGCAACCTGAGGGCAGTTCACGTGCCAGGCAGACTGAACGAAGGAGCAGACATGCTGTCCCGGTGCAATGTAGCTCCAGGAGAATTGAGACTACACCCCCAAGGGGTTCAAATGAATTGGTCTGTCTTCAGTAAGGCAGAGGTGGACCTCTTCACCTCAGAACACAACTTTCACTGCCCAACATACTTCTTGAAGGAGTGAGATGCTCTGGCTCATGAATGACCCAGCGCTCACCTGTATGCTTTTCTTCTGATTCCCCTGCTTCCTCAGGTCATCAGAAGGGGTCAGGGAAGTTGGGTGCTCGTCCTCCTAGTGGCCCCACTCTGGAGGAATCAGACATGGTTCCCTGAGTTAATCCAGCTGCGACATGGGACTTATCCACAGTCCTATAGGTCCCTACGAGGCCCTCCCTTTGAGCCGCTCCAGTTGGCCGAGTTATGACCCCTGTCACTTAAGACGAGTGGCCAATTTACAAGCACTGTCAGTCAACGCTTCATGCCTAACGACTGTAGAGTCGTCCTCAAACCAAGACCCTGCTATGTTCCTAAAGTGCTCTCCACTCTGTTCAGAGCACAAGTCATCGCCCTTCTAGCTCTTCCTAACCGAAAGTATGAGCAGGGTCCTAATTTACTCGGTTCAGGCTCTTAGAGTATGTGAATAGCAGTCTAGCCACTTCTGGCATTCAGAGCAGCTCTTTGTATGCTTCGGAGGCTGCCAGATACAAAGCAGAGACTATCCCGCTGAATAGTTGACTCTATAGCCCTGGCTTATGCCTCAGTGGACTTACAGTGTCCTATTGGAGTGAGGGCCCACTCCACCTGAGGAATGGCCTCCTCCTGGGCTTGGTCCAGTGGAGTTTCTATAGGTGATATCTGTGTGGCTGCAGGCCGGTCTTTGCTGTCTCCCTTCACCAGGTTTTATAACTTGGACACCCCTGCCATTCAGGCATGGATTTTGTTCACCTAATTTACACAATCCCCTATATAAGTGGAGAGGGTCTTGTTATGTAGACCTCAGCCTACTGGCTTGGGTCTCATAACTGGCTCATGCTCTGGGGCTGGGCTCACAGAGCGGCTTTGTTCTGCACTTGCTTATAGCATGGCACTACTGGATGCTGTTACCTACCTGTGTGGTTTAATTAATCATTTTTTAAATGTTTTTTTTTGCAATGATTTGTCTGCCCTGTAGTGGTCAGAAGTGTTTTGTTTTCTGTGTTTGTGTCATCTTCTGAGCAGATTTCCTACACCTGTGGACCGTACAAGTGTGGCTATAAGAAGTCTCGTTGCCACGTTGTGGTGGCGGGGTTTTCAGTGGTGGTCTGGTTCCGCTCTTCTTTGTTTTGTTTTCCAGACTATTTTCCTCCCCACTTTATGTTATGTTCTTGCATAACCTTAGTTACCTGAGATAAGGGAACGAACGTTGTGTAGCCTACCGTGCTATAAGGCTGCACGCAAGTCGATGACTGTCACTATCAGTTGAAAGATTCTGACGAAATGGCACTCAGGGCCGACTTATATAGCAGCTGGCTCCGCCTGTTTGGGCGGGCTGAAGTGCCATTTGTTCATGCAGCTACACAAACGTGAACAAATCATGCTTCAGTATTTTTTTTGGTGAAGTTACGTGTGGCCGATTATGGTGACCCATACTTGGAATTTGTGCTCTGCATTTAACCCATCCAAGTGCACACACAGTAGTGAACACACACAAACCGTGAACACACACCCGTAGCAGTGGGCATCCATTTTTCGCTGCGGCACCCGGGAAGCAGTTGGGGATTCGGTGCCTTGCTCAAGGGTCTCACCTCAGTCATGGTATTGAGGGTGGAAGAGAGCGCTGTACATTCACTCCCCCCACCGACAATTCCTGCCGGACCCGAGACTCGAACGGCAGCAACAAATTCAGGAGTACAGTGATCCACTGTAATAAAAAAAATTTATTTCACTCACTTAACGGTAGGGGGCTCCAAACAAAGTCACAAAAATACACAAAACAAAACAGCTCACCCAACAAAGCACAAACATTTTTACTAGGATTTAATTTGAAGAAAGTTAGAGTATTCATATTTTGGATTTTTTTTTTTACATTTCTAATATTTCTAAACATTCAAATAAATTCTGTTCTTTTGAACAAAAATTACTAAGCAGCACAACTGCTTTCAAATTGATTTTCTTAAGGGTCGAATAAGCATATTAGAATGATTTCTTAAGGATCATGTGCCACTGAAGACTGGAGTAAAGGCTGCTAAAAATTAAATTTTGTCATCAAAGAAAAATTACATTTTCAAATATATAAAAAAAATAATATTTATATACATATAAAATTAAAAACAGCATTAATACTTTTAAATACTTTTCAAAATTTTCAATATTTGTAATTTCACAGTATTACTGTTTTTACTGTATTTTTGATCAAATAAACCCCAAACATGGGCTCAGTTATGTTACCTGTTTTACCTGAAGAAAGGGTCAAATAAGCATGAATAAAAATCTTGCCTTGCCAAACACAAATTGAATTCAAACTCAACACTACATTTGTTTATTCATTTTATTGTTTTATATCATCAGGAAAAAGCAGAGTAGGTGGCCTTGACAGCGTGCAGCATCGAATCCTGTTGGTGTACAGAGCTGACAGGCCGGAATAATCATAATGTGCAGCTTAAAGCCTTTACACGCTCAAAGCGCTTCTCACCAAGGCACGTTGATGTGCCTTAAAGGGTTAATTCACCCAAAAATGAAAATTAGGCTGCGTTTTACTCACCCCCGATGCATCCTAGGTGTATATGACTTTCTTCTTTCAGACGAATACAGTCGGAGTTATATAAAAAATTGTCTTTGATCTTTCAAGCTCTATCGTTGCACTCAGCGGGTGTTGCATTGCTTCAGTCCAAAAGACATGAAATAAAAAGCACCCTTCCATAAAAAAAAGTCCATATTCAAAACGTAATAATCACTTGAATCTAGCTTGAGCTCACTGTTGTAAAACGGAAGCAGTTCGGGGGAATTACGTATGAGGTCAGCTTTGCGCATGCGCGGCTCAGAAGTGACGCACGCAGAGAGATCGAACCAAAACAACGGTCACTAATTAGAAGTACAAAACGAGGATTTGCAAAGAAGAATGTCGGAGGATTTCGATAGAAGCCAAGAGGAGACTTGTTTTCCTTTGCTAAAGTAAGGAAACTTTGCTTCTTTTGATCCTGTAAACAAACGTTGGTTTTCACGAGATTCACCGGCGCATGCGCAACGCTGACCTCATACGTCATGCTCCCGGAACTGCTTGCGTTTTACAACAGTGAGCGCAAGCTAGATTCAAGTGATCATTATGTTTTGAATATGGATATTTTTCTTACCAAAACGCATCGATTCACTACAGGAGGCCTTTGTTCACCCCTCGGAGCCGTGTGAGACACTTTTTTTTATGGAAAGGTGCTTTTTATTTCACGTCTTTTGGACAGAAGCAATGCAACACCCACTGAGTGCAACGATAGAGCTTTAAAGATCAAAGACAATTTTTTTTATAACTCCGACTGGATTTGTCTGAAAGAAGAAAGTCATATACACCTAGGATGCATCGGGGGTGAGTAAAACGCAGTCTAATTTTCATTTTTGGGTGAACTAACCCTTTAAGCAATCATCAAGTCTATTTGACTTTGTTCATGTAAAATGCATTCTTTTACAACTTGGCCTAGCTTTGGCTTTCGTAAGGACACAGAAAAATAAACCGTGGATATCAATCCATTGAAAAGCAGCTTGTTGCATTAAATGCTAATATTATACTTGTAGATTTACATACTGCATTACCTTATTAAAGAGGTTCGTAAATTATGCTTATAGCAAATAATAACGTAGGGGGGAAACTTTTGAAGCATTTTACACCCCTCACACTAGTCAGGTTCAGTATAGCTTAAGTAGCTGGATACAAAGAGCTTACAATCATTGTGCATACAAAAACAGAGCCATGATAATCCGAATATTACTTTCAGATCATATCTGAAAAAAAAGTGAAAAACAATATGTACACAATCCTGTATGCTTGAAACAAGTCACATTTCTACCCAATGGACCATTATTGTGAGAAACACTGATTTCCATGAGGGTGAAAACTGCAAACTTCTCACTTAATTGCCGAGTTTAGTTCTACCTGAGTTGGCATATCTAGTAGGGGTGTATCTATCCAATCTTGTCTTTAACTATTGCATATGACAATTAAAGGCGCAATAGGAGATCTTGGAAAATGCTAACTTTAGCCTGATAGCACTGAAAGCGAATGTCCCACCCTCCCTGCAATCGCCGTCCAAAGCCACGCCCCCTGAATGCATATACGCTCACTCACAGACCAGAGTACCAGAGACAACATTACTACAATAGGCTACATCAGGTTCCCAATTCCAGCCCATGTTCCGAAGTGAAGTAAACATCAACGTATTTCCCCTGCTCAGGGAGGAGGGAGCAATGAACACTGTGTAGGGATCATATCGATCGGAACACAGTTCATGCACGTAGCTCACTTCTAACGAGCTGGTTATCTGAATCGGGTGTGTTAACTAAGCGAGACATTCAAAATATGCAGAGCGGGGGGCGCGAGGACTGGATTAATCGCTGGGCTACATCATGCGTCATTCACCGGTGAGAAAACTTTAAAAGTACTACAATACCAGGAAGGAAAATCGGGTTGTTGATTCTCTGGCATTCTCGCTCTGTCTGCACAGCGTGCGTGAACGCGCTCATGACGTATCCTGTCTGCGCGAACCGGGTGCGCAGAGGTATGCTAAACATACGTTGACAGGCAGGTAGGAAAGCTTATTAAAACGCTCGGACCGAGCGTTTTGATTGGACGAACATTTCTTGATCCTACGCCTTCCACAGAATATATAAATACAGACAAATACATTTAGACCACTTAACTTAATGATTGCTATCGGGATGTGAAGAGACTTTCAACCAGCATAACAAAAAATGTTTCTGAAGACAATCACCTATTACACCTTTAAGAGACTGTTAAGCTCTTAAAATTCACACAGACTTCAAACTGGGTTCAGTGCCCCCGTTGTTTCAAATTAAACACCTGTCCTGCAGGTTTCTCTAGACTGCTCGCTTGAGATAACAGGTGGAACGGTTGTATATGAGAACACTGAGAAATGAAAGCAAACAGCTTTAGCGTGATGAGAAAGTTACTAGTTTGCACCATACGCATCTTTCCCTCTTGCAGGAAGCATTAAGACTGTCTTGGAATGCACAATATACTGTATAGAGTAAATATTGCCGTTACTACAAGCGTGATTACTGTAGATACATAAGAGTGGCCTCCCTACCACTAGAGGCACCAGAGAATTTAGAGTGTCAGGCTTGGCTGAGAAAAACGACACGAAGCCACTTTGGAACAAAAATACGACTCGGTTCATTGGTTAATCATCATCAGTAGCCTCCCTTTTCGATTCATCCAGCTTCCGCTCCACGAGTTGAGAGGTGGGGCTTAAAGGAGACACCACTTCCACAGGAGGTAGCATGGCACCTTCTGGCTCGATGTCTTTCCTCTGAGACAGCTCCTCCTGGATGCAAACACATCACGTTCAAGTGAACAATCCTGACCACAAAACCAGTCCAAGTAGTGCATTAACAACAACCTCTAACCTGCTCAGAGAACCGCTGACTCATGACTTGATCTCCAAACTCCTGAGTCTCGACCTCTTCGCTGTTGGAGTGGCAGCTGGGGCTGGGTACCTCTATCCCATGGCTCTCTAGTATAGCAGCCTCTGAGTGAAAGAGACCGATAATGATGCTGAAAATTCAGCTTTGCCATCACAGGAATAAATAACATTTTAAAATATATTAAAATAGAAACCAGTTGTCTTAAATTGTAATAATATTTCAGAGTGTTGCTGTGTTTTCGAGCAAATAAATGCAGACTTGGTGAGCATAAGAGACTTTTTTCAAAAACATTACAAAAAATCTTACAGAGACCAAACTTTTGAACAGTAGTGTATACTTTATAAACACACAAATAGACAAATAATTATTTTTAGTAGCCTGGGACCCTTACTGGACGGGGGCCCACAGACAGACAGATTTTGTTCTTAAAGGGGTCATATGATGCGATTTCATTTTTTCCTTTCTCTTTGGAGTGTTACAAGCTCTTGGTGCATAAAGAAGATCTGTAAAGTTGTAAAGACTAAAGTCTCAAATCCAAAGAGATATTCTTTATAAAAGTTAAGAGTTAGCCACACCTACCTAAAACGGCTCGTTCGAACACGCCCCCACATATCTACCTCACTATGTGGGAAGACCATTTTGGTAGCTTAATGTGAGGAATCCACATGAAATACTGGAGAAAAAAACTAAAACTTCAGGCTTCCTAGATAAACATTTAATGCTTGTGTCACTTAAAATCAGTGACTATCTGTCAGACTATCATTTTTGCTGTCTCACCTATGTTTGCACGTCTCTTCATCTCCTTCCTCCGATTGGCAAACCAGTTGTACACTTTGAGCGCAGTGACCCGTTCAAATTCGGACAGTTTGCATCCTGAAACAACATTTATATAAGAAATTAATCATTTAAATCAATAAGTAAAGGCATTTATACATTCAGTGAGGCAGGGCTACATTTGCAACAAAGTCGGCAATGCTACGACTAGTCTGGGTCTGAGGCAGTTCAGATACTGATTGCAATCACTTACCAGGTTTTTGAATGACAGCATTACAAGCATTGGCAATTTCCTCTCTTTTGGCTTCATCAGGATACTGGTTCTCTATAAAGAAACTGAGAACAAACAGAGCGAATCAGAACAAGACTTGTGATGTCACGATTATTGTTCAACCAATAGAAAACAGGAATGGCCTTAGAACATTGCAGATTAATAAAATTGGCTATTTAATGTTTATGACAATGACATTAAATGTAAAAATGCTTGTGAACGAAGAAAATATTCCACTTGTATGGGTACACGGTCACCATACCTCACTATAAAAATATGGGGATTGTGCCATTACAAAAAATTCAGAATTCAGAATTTGTGAATCATCCATTGGACAGATATTGTAAAAAAAACAAAAAAAAAACTATCGATAATATGTTATAATTAAGCACTTGAAAAAAGAGCGAAAATTGTATTTAACTGTATCATGTATGTATTTTAGAGAGTTTTATCTCAAAGGAGTCATGCAGATGTTCTTTTACAGATGTCACCCTGAGAAACAATTTCTGTCTGAATAGTGCCAAAGACAGTGATGCTCTGTGATTTACCTCTCCATGATTGACTGGCACTCCTTTCTCCAGGTGAAGCGACTACCTCTACGCAGTCTAAAAGGCCCAACTGCTGCCCTGTCTGCAGGGCTTCCAGCCAACCTCCAGTCAGGCTCCTCTTTAACCAGAGAGCGCATGGACAATGTGGCACCTGTTGTGAACATTATCCAAAAATATGGAATATAGAACTTAAAACGCATACAAACCAAAATAACAATCAAATATGAATTCACTGCATATGTAGTTAAACACTAATTAAAGAGATGGTTCACCAAAAAATAGAAATGTTGCTATTTACTCACTGGAAGACAGCATGACTGTCTTCCATGGAGCACAAAAGGAGATACATATAGCAGATTTTTCCCAATTATCTTTTCAATAAAATGAAAGTGAATACTGACCATAGCAGTCTCTGGTCCCCATCCACTTTCATTGCATGAAATTTTGTGTTCCACGCAAGTAAGAAAACCAGAGGTTTAGAACACCGTGAGGGTGTCATTTTCAGTTAACTACCCTTTTATATATAGCTATTCTAAAAGATTCTAAAGCCACCTTTCCACTATTTCCATACGTTTGTTGCATTTCACCCCCTAGTGGCAGTCATAACTGGTCCTGATGCACATATATGTACGAATATTTCCACACAAATGATCGCAATATGTTTAAAAGAAAAGCATAATGTGTTTTCTAGAGCTAATCATTGTAAATAATTATGTAATATTAAAAAAATAATTATTTATAACTGCCCATTTTACAGAAATAGTATTTAAAGAGTAGCGTACTAGTGCAAGAATATTGATAGGCTAGTTCTCACCTCACACTCAGTTTTTATTCAAATATTTTATTAGAATCAGTCTAGCTGCAAAAGTTACAATATTTTTCAACTTAATCGAAGCTCAAATCGGATCTGAAAATTCCGCTTATGCATATGACTGGAACTCTACACAGCTGCCGTACTACTCTCCATTAGAAATGAATGGTTTCCAGGCTGTTGTTTTTGGAGATATTGAAAAGGCGGCTTTAGACTCAAAGAGAACAAATTTGTATTGAAGTGAACTTAATCGGTGTTTCCTTGCTGCATAGACGTTACCTGACTGGGACTGGTGAGTAGAGTACCAGGGGAGGAGGTGCATCAGCAGTTCTCTCTGCCTATTCAAGGAAGTGTCAGTTCTGCTCCTGGGGACCTGAGCATGCTGGTTTTCACTCCATCTGATTCCTTTAACCCATTTGGGCAATCAGAAAACTGTGTTAACTAGGGTCCCTTCGAGGGGCCAAAAACTTGCTGTTAATTGTGATGATCGTTAACAAATATTAACATAGTGCTCAATGAAAATCCTTTGAGAAAACTTAATTGTAGATAACAGTGTTAATAGACATTCAAAGTGATTAAGTTCTTGGAGACATGCTCAATTCTCTAGCGCTGTAGAGAATGTAAAAGCGTCATGCTCAGTGCTCTGTTAGTAGGGTCGGGTGTTAATTGCACCTCAGTGCAGAGAGGACATGAAAACCAGCATTTGACAAACCCAGGATCAGGAATGAGAGCTACAGAAGAAGGTCTAACCTGGGAGATGGAGAGCAGAAGTGGTCCTGGAGGGCTTCACATTACATAATTAGCTCCTTTACGCATCAACACGTTCTCTATATTATAAATGTGAGATGATGAAGGCGTTGGCGGTGTTACAGCCTAAAAGGCTTTAAAGCTCATTTCTGACTGCCACAACCTACACTTGGATGTGCCAAGAACAGCATTAACCTAAGTGCATAATTGATGGGAAAAGACACCAGTTGATTGAATTTCAATTCAGTGCGGCAACATGGCTTGTCCTTCCAATACACAGTCTTGATTTCTCTAATGTAAAACCCTCAAGGACCATGCAAACTATATGGGGAAGATATGGCAGAATAGCAAATGAAGACCAAAAAAAAAAACTAAACTAAACATAAAACTCTATTCTTGTTTAAGCCAGCCCCAAGCTCAAAATTCAGGCCACTGCTTTATTTTTGAAAAATCATCCCCCTGGAGAGGAACAACAACTCACCTGGGCTGTTGCGCTCCAGCAGGTACCAGCGATAGAACGCCCTGCGTTTGGAGTCGCTCATCTCCAGCCCCTGCTGCAGAAGCCACTGGGAGATGTAGCTCTGACTAATACCTGCAGAATATCATAGTCAAAAAAAAAACAGTGACAGAAATGGCATGAAAAGTAGAAAGTACCAGAATAAAACCAATAATTATCATTGGTAACAAAAAATATTAAAAACATTTTTGTTAATTTAAACAAATCTGAAATCAAATAAAATAGAAACATTAGATGAAAAACTGGAAGCTCAACAAAATTTTGAAATGTTGCCTTCGCTAACTGAAATAAGTTTTTAAGTTTACTAAATTTACTAAGTAGAAATAAATACAAAATGAACAAGCTAAAACTGAAAAAAAGTTAGCAATCTAAAAAAAAAAAATTTTAAATACCAAAAGCACATAAAATAACTGATTATTAAACTAAAATTAAAATAAAAAATGAAAATATAAAAATAAAAGCTAATTCAAAATACTAATAGTACAAGTAATACTAAAATAATTATTCACTTGGTGTGATTTTGCAATGATATACAGGGTCCAACCATTTTTTTAATATTGTTTCAATTGTTAAATAAAAGTTCAGCATGCAATCAATGCAATATTGACTTACAACAAACTTTAATTTCAAACAAACATCTTGCTTTTTTGACACACACTATTATGTGTAAAAAAAAATGTAACGTCCTCGAAATGAACTGATTTCGAGACTATAAGCACATTCTGTACCCAATCTGTACTCTGTGTATTTAATGAGATCCAGTGCTGATATTTCACTGTATGAAGTATAATCTGTATAATACAGTGGTGCTTGAAAGTCTGTGTGAACCCTTCAGAATGTTCTATATTTCTGCATAAATAAGACCCAAAAGATCATCAGATTTTCGCACACGTCCTGAAAGTTGCAAGGAGAAAGCCACTGCTCTCCAAAAAGAACATTGCTGCCCATCCGCAGTTTGCTAAAGATCATGTAGACAAGCCAGAGGAATACTGGAGAAATGTTTTGTGGACGGATGAGACCAAAATAGACATTTTTGGTTTAAATGAGATGCGTTATGTTTGGAAAAAGGAAAACACTGCATTCCAACATAAGAACCTTATGCCATCTGTGAAACATGGTGGTGGTAGTATCATGGTTTGGGCTTGTTTTACATCATTGATGTAACAATGAATTCTTCTTCTGAAGGGGTTCTGCTGTACTGAGGAATGGGCTAAAAATTCTGTCAACTTTCAGAACTTGTGTGAAAATCTGATGATCTATGCAGAAATATAGAAAATTCTGAAGGGTTCACAAACTTACAAGCACCACCGTACATCAAGTATGCGTGCAATATTTTTGACAATGTACAATTTATTAACAAAGAAATGGAAATGCAAACTGAACTTGCAATCACAGTTTGTTTCCACAGACTTCAACAATTTCGTTGTGTAGACGTTTAATATCTGTCTGAATTTGTCACACATGCACATGCTCGCTGTTTTTTCCTCAATGTCAACATTTGAGTTATCAAAGTTGTGGTTGGCCTAGACTTTCTCTGTCTGACAGTCTTGATGGACAATTTTGGTGCACCTTTGACATGTAGTAAAATAAAAATATGCACCCCATTCTCTGATGGTTTGCATGATTAGAAAATTGCCACTGTTGGCTACACTTTTTCCACTGCAAGACAGAAAGCAGGTACCAGCGATAGAACGCCCTGCGTTTGGAGTCGCTCATCTCCAGCCCCTGCTGCAGAAGCCACTGGGAGATGTAGCTCTGACTAATACCTGCAGAATATCATAGTCAAAAAAAAAACAGTGACAGAAATGGCATGAAAAGTAGAAAGTACCAGAATAAAACCAATAATTATCATTGGTAACAAAAAATATTAAAAACATTTTTGTTAATTTAAACAAATCTGAAATCAAATAAAATAGAAACATTAGATGAAAAACTGGAAGCTCAACAAAATTTTGAAATGTTGCCTTCGCTAACTGAAATAAGTTTTTAAGTTTACTAAATTTACTAAGTAGAAATAAATACAAAATGAACAAGCTAAAACTGAAAAAAAGTTAGCAATCTAAAAAAAAAAAATTTTAAATACCAAAAGCACATAAAATAACTGATTATTAAACTAAAATTAAAATAAAAAATGAAAATATAAAAATAAAAGCTAATTCAAAATACTAATAGTACAAGTAATACTAAAATAATTATTCACTTGGTGTGATTTTGCAATGATATACAGGGTCCAACCATTTTTTTAATATTGTTTCAATTGTTAAATAAAAGTTCAGCATGCAATCAATGCAATATTGACTTACAACAAACTTTAATTTCAAACAAACATCTTGCTTTTTTGACACACACTATTATGTGTAAAAAAAAATGTAACGTCCTCGAAATGAACTGATTTCGAGACTATAAGCACATTCTGTACCCAATCTGTACTCTGTGTATTTAATGAGATCCAGTGCTGATATTTCACTGTATGAAGTATAATCTGTATAATACAGTGGTGCTTGAAAGTCTGTGTGAACCCTTCAGAATGTTCTATATTTCTGCATAAATAAGACCCAAAAGATCATCAGATTTTCGCACACGTCCTGAAAGTTGCAAGGAGAAAGCCACTGCTCTCCAAAAAGAACATTGCTGCCCATCCGCAGTTTGCTAAAGATCATGTAGACAAGCCAGAGGAATACTGGAGAAATGTTTTGTGGACGGATGAGACCAAAATAGACATTTTTGGTTTAAATGAGATGCGTTATGTTTGGAAAAAGGAAAACACTGCATTCCAACATAAGAACCTTATGCCATCTGTGAAACATGGTGGTGGTAGTATCATGGTTTGGGCTTGTTTTACATCATTGATGTAACAATGAATTCTTCTTCTGAAGGGGTTCTGCTGTACTGAGGAATGGGCTAAAAATTCTGTCAACTTTCAGAACTTGTGTGAAAATCTGATGATCTATGCAGAAATATAGAAAATTCTGAAGGGTTCACAAACTTACAAGCACCACCGTACATCAAGTATGCGTGCAATATTTTTGACAATGTACAATTTATTAACAAAGAAATGGAAATGCAAACTGAACTTGCAATCACAGTTTGTTTCCACAGACTTCAACAATTTCGTTGTGTAGACGTTTAATATCTGTCTGAATTTGTCACACATGCACATGCTCGCTGTTTTTTCCTCAATGTCAACATTTGAGTTATCAAAGTTGTGGTTGGCCTAGACTTTCTCTGTCTGACAGTCTTGATGGACAATTTTGGTGCACCTTTGACATGTAGTAAAATAAAAATATGCACCCCATTCTCTGATGGTTTGCATGATTAGAAAATTGCCACTGTTGGCTACACTTTTTCCACTGCAAGACAGAAAGCATTCAGAGTACCTGTGACTTGTCCAACAATTGCCTGTGAGATCCTTCTGTTATTGAGAAAAGCCTTTATCTCTTCTTTCACAAGGTTGCTGTCCCTCCTACAGTCCAAACAAAGACAAGCATTTCAGTGACACTGATCAAAACAAAACATTAAGTATTACATTTCATTAAACACTGAAATAGTGAAGAACGGTAGCAGCTTTAAAATAGTTTTATAAAATGTGTGTTAATTTAAGTCTCTAGGTTCCACATCCTATTTTGTGGTAGAAGCAATACTGTGACAGAAATTTATAAATTTGTGACAGGAAAATTCATTAAAAAATTCAATGGAGTTTTGGTATTGCACCTAAACTAAATCTAACAGGAACCTTAATTTTTGAAATATCAACTTCAAATTTGGAACATTACTTAGTTAGACATATGGCTTTAATTTTATAGCAATTTTAGATTCCAAAGTAAAATATTTCTTTTAACCATTTAACCATTTTAAAAAACCTTTAACCTTTTAACCATTTATGAATTACAAGCAAGATGCATTTTCATGTCTAGGTTCAAAAAGAGGGGTTGACAGTTAAGAGGTTAAAGGACAGATGGTGTTATATTTTTGTAACATTTTTACCCTATTCACCTGTGTGAAGCGGGGAAAATACTGTTTTATGTCCCATTCTCCAGAGCCAAAGCAGTAACAGAAAAAGCTACAAAAAGCATCCAACTGAACCAACTGTCCACCTGACCTGTTTCAGAAAGGGATCTTGTTCTCTGAAAATTACACTGTTGCTCAGGGACATTCACTGTCATTATCAGCTGTTATATTAATCTCTACCTCTCAGTAGACCTGAGAAGAGAAGCCCACAGAAGCAGCTCATAAAAGATACCTCATGTATTCCTCCACCTTCTCCTCCAGATCCCAGTCCTCTTCTGCCAAGTCGTAACTAAACGACCTCTGAACTCCGCTGGGTGGGTACATGGGTGGGGGCGAAGCATCGTAGCTGTTGCTTGGCGATAATGCAGCATCCATAACAGGAGTCTGCGTGGTGGCTGAGGTAAGAGAGGAGAAGGAAGAAGAGGAGGACGAGGGAGCAGCAGGGGCTGCGGAGGTAGGGGCGCTGGGTGGGGCCGAGTGATTGTTGCAGCATGGGGTACGATGGTCTGGATCAAGCCTCTCTAAAGACTCAAGGGCTTGAATGATCTGAGGTTTGGTCATCCCTGACAGCCTTAAACGCTGGAGCAGGTCGATCTGTTCAATGGTATAGCGTGGCTCCACATCACAACACTCCATCCTAGCATCTGCGGGACAAGACAAGTAAAAAAAATCAAAGTATTAAAAAGAAAATTATTTTGTTTGTAATCAACATCTTTAAATAAATAGTTTTATTTTTCTACATTCTTTTTATTTCAATTGTCATTTGCAATGCTTCAAGAGATGTAGATCTTTACGTCATTATAGTACGAATTTTTGTTTTTGGCCAATTTTCTCATAATTTTTTGCTTCAAATCAAAGTTTATAATTTTGTGATTCACCTCATAGCCAGTTAAACATCTTAAACGAAGACAGAATATTAAACAAAGACTTAAACCAACAGAATATTACATATGTTCAGTTTACTTAAAGTTCAGTCTGTTCCTCGCGCTTTGAAACAATATGTATTGTAAAACGTGCTATTCAAATAAACGTGATTTGAACTGGATTACACAAAGCTATTCCATAAGACCTGGAATATCACAAAAGTCATACTGACCACTTATTGATGATTATACTTTTATGGTACTTTTTCCTCATTTTGGAACCTGACAGCCCCAGTCCCCATTAACTTTCATTATATGTAAAAGAGTGAGCAGGACATTCTTCTAAAATTCACCTTTTATGTTGAACAAAATAAATAAAGTCATACAAGTTTGGAACAATTCCAATTATTAGTAAACTGCTATTAGTAAAAAATAATTAGTAAACTTTTATATTTCATATTACTGTCAATCTCATTTTTTTTTTTCTATCTAACCTTTTACTTAAAGCAATTCTTTTGCTAACCTGCAAACACTGGCATTCCTTCAGGAAATGCAAACCTAGTAGTATAGAGTAACTTCATATAAAATGTTTGCACATCATATTTGTGGTCCTACCTGAGATTTGAGGTGATAATCGGCCCGTTGGGAGCGGTTCGGCGCGTGGAGCCACAGCAGGAAGGCACCACTGTCGCATGGTCGAGGAGTCACCCGCAGGGGACAAGGGGGGCTGTCAAAACATCACAATAAGTACTAACAGCCGGTCAGCATGTATCAGTTAGTCATGCTAGAGTAACGATAGAAACAACTCGGCCACTGTCTGTTTTAAAAACGACCTTCAATAACAGCTAACGCACGTCTGTGATCTTTATTTTGTGTCAGGCTCGCGCTAACTGGCTAGCCCCAGCGGGCACGCACAGCATGCAAGAATGCTTCATCTTCGCCTTTGTTTTCACACTTGCAGCTGAACCCAGTGGCTTGGGGACGGCTTTTACTTCTGGCAGACAACGCGTAAAGTCATGCAGTACTAGAAAAAAAAGTCACTGCTCTAGTTTTTGAAACAGATTCGCGTCTCGCAGTGCCACTTGTTATGACTGCGGGTGTGAGATGCCTTCATAGTAGCACAGCTTTGATGCACAGAGCGCTAGAGTAACTGTATTGCCGCTAGCATGAAAAGCTATATACCCTACACGCAGTTATTATCCGCCTTACCTCCCCGCGCTACCGTCAAACTGCCGCCGGAGTTGGAGTGCAGGGCGGTCGGTGCACACCCTGGGTTATATCCCGGCCCTCCCGTGCGCTCACTTGCACTCCGTGGCGCTTCAACTAGCTAATGAAGGTGATCCGAGGAGGGTCACATTGTCCTGGGATGCCGCAGCATAATATTACTGGATATATGGAAGTCAACAATCGACCTCTCACCCGCAGCGACAGTCCCATGTGGATGCAGGAAGTGGATGCCAGAAGACACTTCCATACGTCTTTAACGACATGTAAAAAGATTTTGCAAGACCTTATGAAGAAATATTTGGGAGTAGTTGGGAAATATAAAAATGGGTTCTTACTTTTTATCAAGTTTGTTTACATTTGTCAGATTTCGCAGGACTGCTATTCTGTACGGATTTACGCTTTCCTTTTTTTTGCACACAGCAATGGGAATGTTTGCAATGCACCAGTAATGAGTTGCTTGCTTGCACTGTTAATATGAGGTTCAAATTGCTGACCACAAATAAATCGTTGCTATATTATATTAATATTGTATCATGCAATGTGCAGGAGGAGTCATTAGTCCTACAACCAGCACAACCAATTTAAAGCTTCTACAAGAGATCTGAAAAACAAAAACATTAGACTAAACAATAAAACGAGCCTAAAAAAAAGTTCCACACAATTACTAAAATATTTAATTATCAACACAATTATTTATGGACTATATATTTTAATGTAAAGTTTAGTCTTTTATTATAGTCTTTTATTATAGCCTATTGGATAAAATAATAAACTCACATTAATGTTTTTTCTAAATGAAAAACGTTATAATGAATAAGTGCCTGAACAACTAACAAATGTTGTAACAAAGTATGTTGTGTTGATATTATTTGTCTTATTTCATTCTAAAACAGTTCATCCTGTCTAATAAAATACATACGTATACAATAGTAATAATCAAATAAATAAGTGCCTGAGTTTTATCATTTCTGACCAATGATTAATCAAGTTTAAACAAAACTTTCATTCATAATAATCCACAGCAGAGCACTTGATGACACACTTTTCACCTTTAGTTGACAGTGCTGTTCATTTTCATCATCTGAGAAGTCCTGTCCTCAGGAGACCCGGCCTACAGAGAAACCCATCTTAACAGTATTTGTGGTGATCACCTGGTGCACATCCTGCCTCCCCTCTGTGAGAAGCTGTATTTCATTATGAAAGGCTGATATGAGTGTGCCAGCTCGCACAGACATAAACGGATGATCCATCTAGCAGCTCTGGCCTGCAAAGACAATCAAGATAACATCCAGGAGACAATATTATTATAGTCTGCTGACCATCCTTCCTCAGACTTTATTAGTGGGGCTGGCTGTCTCCTGAACTGGACTTCCTCCCTTCCCCAAATTAATATGCTTTGATTGAGACGAATGCTTACTGTGTATGATCCAAAAACAAAACCATTCTGGTCCTGATCAAAGCTCAAATACTTGAAGCTTAAATGTAGAAATAATCTACATTTCAATCTAATATTCTTAATTTCTTTTATCTAATTGGCCATACAGAAAATAGAAACAGAGCCCATATCTGACACACTGGTGTAGGATTCACTTTGAAACAAATTTTACTCAGAAATGACTAGTAAACTTAAAGAGATATTTCACTAAAAAATGCAAATTCTGTCATTATTTACTCACACTTAAGTTGTTCCAAACCTGTAGGAATTTCGTTCTTCTGTTGAACACAAAAGAAGATATTTTGAAGAATGTGGGTAACCAAACAGTTGGCATTAGCCATTGACTTCCATATTATGGGAGGGGGGTGGGGGGAATATGATGGCAGTCAATGGCTACCGTCAACTGTTTGATTACCAACATTCTTTAAAAAAAAAACTGCTTTTGTGGGGGGTGCTGGGGGTCATTTGTGTATGCGGGTGTGAATAATTGTGCTTTTCTACTTGAGGATAATTGATTATATCTTTTAATTTGATAGTTTTCTTTAAATATAGTCACATGTTCATGTTATTTAAACTGTTTTTCTTTTTTTTTAAATATTGAACCAAAGGAATTACATTGATGATGATGACAATTCTCATTTTTGGGAGAACTATCCCTTTAATAACAAATAAAATAAAAATACAAATACATTTTTAAGTAGAAAGCCTGAAATAGTATTTTCTTGTAAAACGTGTAGGCCAGTAATTTTTTTGTTTTTTTTTAATGGCATTTAATACATTGGTGTATTTGATAATGATTCTTGTGCGTTGTGGAGAGAGAGCCACAGTACCTCTAACACAGAGAGGGCTCTACACTCTATAACACAAGACAGAAACGGAAAGATGTATGAAATGTTTATCTGCTCATCTTGTTTTACAAGACAGGGGTTGAGGTGCTCATCTTCTACCTGCTTTGTAGGCCAATGATATAGTTACCATGCCTTAAACATGGCCTGCATTCAAAATAAAATTAAAATGATTCAAAATCAGTAAACATTTAATTGCCATTTTATGTCATCATATTCTTTACAAATGAAGAAATTGGATTTGTTACCCTTGATATAGATTCTCACTCTTATATACTGTATGCCTCAATTGTATTGTAATAGCCATGCAGGAAAAAAACAAGAAGAAGGAAAAAAAAAAAACAGCTAAGAACAGCTTAAGCTGGTTGGCTGGTTTTAGCTGGTCTTCCACCCTGGCCATAGCTGGTAAAGCTGGTCTTCTAGCCTGTCCAAGCTGGAGTTTAACTGGTTGGTGTTTAGCTGGTAGAGCAGCTAAGACCAGGGGCCAGTTGCATAAACTTAAGTCTGTGACTATTCTGACCAACTAGCCATTGTCAAGGGGTAATGAGTCGTATATTTTGGATTTAAATTAAACCAATCTACGTTTTTATGCAACTGACTTTAAAAAAAGAAAAAAATTTGATGACTAACTTGTAAGACTAGTCTAAGCATTTTATGCAACTGGCCACAGGGTGGAAGAGCTAAAACCAGTCAGCAAGCTTAAGCTGGTTTTAGCTGGTTTTATTTATTTGTTTGTTTGTTTATCATTTTTGTTTTGTTTTTTCTCCAAAAGAAACATGCTACAGTGAAAATGCAGTGCTCTTCCCCTTTGTTGTGTTTGTGTCCCTCTTGTGGAGAGAATCTATATAAATTATTATCCTGTGCAATTATGAGACAATCCGAGTCCATTTGCTTGAACATTATTCAGAATATTAAAACAAGTAAACTAATCATTAACAAACGATGTATAAACTTACCAACCCTAAAGACTGCCCAGCCTGTGAGGAAATATCTGGGGCACATTCCTTCAATCTGTACACAAACACATGTGTGATTGGGACAGTACAGACAGGAGGTGCAGCTCCTCTCTTCTGGTATATATACAGAAGTGCCATGACCAAACCGAGGGCTTAAATTAGATTGGAAACTGTTCAAATGGGGAATTCAGGTGAGTTACTGAGACAGCCATAATAACTCTTCACGCACCCCTAATGATTTTGAATCTATGTTGAGGATGACAGGTAATTTTCTTTCTGTTTACTGACAAAGCCATAATTAATAGTTGTACTCAATATGCATTAGTCTCTTAAACACGGTCTGCTTCATATGTCATAAAGCTTGTCTGTTTATGGTTGTACCAAACAACAGGCTGCAGGACGTACTTAGAACATAATATTTAAAATTTATGATCACTGTAGCACTGTCACAAACTTTTTTCTTTTCCCAAAGGTTTAACAATTCTCTGCTGAGTTTGCTGTGCCAAGTGTACACAGTGTGTAATGATTAACTGAGGTGACATCTCTCCTGTAGCCCTAACCCTGTCCTCAGTGGATCAGCGGAGCCTTTGTGTTTGCTGTGAAATTATGTCCACCCACACCGCTCTGCTCCACTTCTAATCTTTCCTTCAGTTTTCACAGTCTTTCCAGAGCACAGCAGCAAAATATCTGTAATGTTTGTCAGCACAGCCATGTCAAAATATGAGCTTTGTCTTCTCTCCAAGTCTTAACTTGGTGTTTATGTTGTTGAGAGGAAGTTACTGGAGGCTGTAAATTCGTCGACTGACAGTAAAATCAGCACAGAGCTCTTGGCTGCATTTGGTATCCCATCAGCTCTCTCTCTCTCCCACTCAGGGGTGTGTTGTGGCAATCTGGAGGAGCAGAAGGGGCTGATGAAGATGGGCCTTAGTATGGTGTTAGTAGGGCATGTGAACTTCCTGCTAGGTGCTCTGGTCCATGGTGTGGTACTGAGACACTTCAGCCTTCAGCGGGGACAGGCCATGGAAAGCGCCATCTCGAACGTCATCGCCCTGGCAGCGGGCCTGCTGGTGAGGCATGACATATTCATGTAAAGTGGGCAATTAGCTGAACAAGAGGAATATTTTGTCTTGTTTTTTTTTTTTTGCACACTGCAAAACAAGCTATTTATTAAAATACATATAACTATTACATATAAGAGTAACCACAAGTGTAGTTCGTCGACAGTGAACATGCTCTATTAATGTTTTTACAACCAGAAAGTGTCCAAATGCTTTTTATCATTTAGAACCTAACATATTTTTTGTGTGAAATATGTTACTTGAAATATATGCTTGTGCTATTTGTTCTTTAAGATACATTTCACTTTCACTTGGGCCAAGAATAAAACGGAATAATGTGCTGTTATGTTCATCCTTATAGGGTGTCATTATTGGGATATTGACTATTGTTCTGTCCAACAACAGGAAGAACAGGGTGCTGGTAAGTAATCATTTCTAGTACACAAATGATTTGTTTTAGATAACTGTAATTTAAATGTTGTAATTAAAACAACACACATTCTCTTGTAATGCTTAACGGATGAACACAACACAACAGTTAAAGGGGTCATATGATGCGATTTCAAGTTTTCCTTTCTCTTTGGAGTGTTACAAGCTGTTCGTGAATAGATAAGATTTGTTCCGGTGAATTCAGTTCCCCTGTTTCCCCTTCGGCGCTTAAAAAGACAGTAAAAGTCATTATAATCAGTAATTATGTCCTCACTGGATGCAACAAATGCCTCGTTTATAATGGTTTTATTGGTTTGTCTCGTCGCTCCGGGACACGGCATCACAGTATGGTAAGGGCCGTAACATTTCCGTCTCATGCTTGAGGTATTCGGCCAATCACAACGCACTAGATAGCTGGCCAATCACAGCACACCTGTGAACTTTCAGACCTATGAGCTTTGTAAAAATCGACGCGTTTCAGAAAGGCGGGGCAAAGAGGAGAAACAATAATGTACACTATGTGGAAAATAATGTATTTTTTT